TTCAAAATCAAATTTGATAAATATCAAGCAGGCCAATATTTGTCTGCTTAATATTTGTGAACAGACAAATATTAAGCCTTAACTTTATTGATCACTTTAAGGCTGTTATAGAAATGTGCTCCAAGTCCAAACTGAAACTCGTTATATGTCCAAAACAATACTACAATAACGAAACGTGCAACATTATGTCACAACAAAGTACTAAGACCTCCATAGAAAAGGAAATGTACTTTGCCTAATTTTTCACTACCTTCAGCTTCTTTCATCTACTTTAGTTCAAAAACTACAGAACCCAGACTCTTCAAGCCTGGATTAGATTATTGGCAACTAATATCAGAATATCTAAAACCAAGTTTGACATTTGTGAATCTTTAATAAAGAACAATTTCACCTAATTGTATCTACCTTGAGCATATTTTAATTGCCTTACTTTTCACACCTTGCTGTTGTTGGACACAACAGCAAAATAATGAAAATGTCAGGATTAATTCAGTTCTTATTGAGTCCAGATGCATAAAAAGGGCTGAAATGGTCCTTTATTGAAGTTTCACAAATCATATAAAGGTTTCACAAATCCTAAACTTAGTTTTAAATATTCTCCCATTACTTGAGAATACTCTAGCCAACGTTTGAAGAGTCTCGGCGTTGTAGTTTTAAAACTATAGTAAAGATGCTGAATGTGGTGAAAAATTAGGTGGAATCGCCCTTTAGCCATTTCGCAAATCAGGGGCTGCAATCGAAAACCAACTTCAGCTTCAAAAACAACTTTGCTTAACTGAAAACTTTATTTAAACTTTTTCCAACTCTCAGCTGTATCATCAGTAAAGCTGTTTCCTACCTATTCGGTGTAAGATGATCAGGGGAATCCGGGATAAATCAAGCAGTCTGCGCTGATCCTCCATCTCTTCCTCCGACTGGACGATGATTTTATCAAACTCCGTTAAAGTTTCTTCAGCAGCAGTTAACTGCTCGTTTATTAACTCTCTCTGGGACTAAAGTGAAGACAGAGTTCCGACAAACACTCAAATATATTATAAAATACACCAAACCCGTCTTCAAGCTACATTAAACCTGAAGAAAAGCTAACAGCTGTCTGTGCTGTTTTCATTTCATGTGTGTTTCACGGAGGCTCCACTGAAGAAACACGAAACCGACTTTTAGTTCCGACTTGAATTTCCTAATTCCCTCTGAATGTGGGAACAGACTACAGACAATGAAACAGTATTTCCGAACCCTGGTCCTCAGTGCTCGCTGCCCTGCATATTTTAGACGTTTGAATATAATAATTAAAACTTCTCAATGTTTGACATTGTCTAGCTAAATTTTTTACATCAGGCTGCATAGCTGCTACACGGATTAGCTGCTCTATGCTGTAGTTGTTTGCTGCTGAGCATAATGGTGGCTAAAACAAACATTATTTTTACATCAACTTCTAAGTTATGTGAAACGTCCATTAAGATAATTTGAAGGCTCAGAAATCAACTGGTCAATAAATCAGTTGGCTACTAAATGCATCCTATTATACATGTATATAATGTAAACAGCACTGCCAGAGACGCAATAAGTTTATAGCAGGTGTGTGAATGACCTAATGATCAGAGTGCAGATTGCAGTCAGTCCACATTGTCAGCAGAACTGGAGGTGCCAAAACCAGGTTTTGCTTTGGGCCGGCCCTGCATTTTTGTATCAGAAAAAGTATTTTTCAATTTGAATATAAGCTTGGTGAATAAAGCAGATGGTGTCCAACTAGTCTATGCTTGGTTTCACTGATACATGCAGCCACCCACTACACCTTTAAATGAGTCACAATCCACAGCTAAACTGAAAAAAAGAAAACCATCACAATGGGAAATTGACTTTATTACATAAGAACCACAAAATCTGGCATTCACTCTGATTCAGTATTTTGACCTTGAATCAGAAACACACAAAATAATAATTAAGATGAAATACATACACACATCTTTATGAATTACTTTGATAAAATTAATTTCTCTTGGGTGCAACTCTTAACAGCTAAAAATGTTATTTATACTGGTGAGTATTTTTTGTCAGAGAATGTAGACCAGGGCTTCACAGATTATGTGTCTTCAAATAATTTGAACAGCTTCTGGAGAAGCTAATGTAAAAATAATTGTTTTTGCCACATAAATGTTCATCTTGTTCATCAGCAAACAACTACAGCAAAGAGCAGCTCATTGATATGTTAATGCAGCCGTGTAGCCTGATACTGCAGAAATGTCTAAACATTATCTAGAAACTTCTTTAATGGAAAAACACATCTTGCAGAAATACAAACACAGCAGATAAAATCAGTAAATAAATGGCAAAAAGTATCATCAGTTCCATCAAAGATGAATAAAGCTAAAAACAAAATTTTCTATTACGACAGCAGGAATTTGCTTATACTATATTGCTTATATTATGTCACTCAGAATCCACTGCTAAACTGAAAGAAAACCATCTTGTTGGTAAATTGAGTTTATTTCATGAGAATTACAAATATAATGTTTTTCACTTCAATTTTTGAATCACAAATTGAATTTACATCAATACATTTTCTAACATGTTAAAAAATAAAAACCTTTTCAAACAAAACTGTGTCAAAAACAAACATACAATTTAGAGTACTTTTTAGAAGAATTATATGAAGATATTATTAAAAAAAAGTAAGTAATTCAGTTCTATTTATATGACACAAATTCACAGCAAATGTCATCTCAAGGAACTTTACCAAAAGATCATTTCAGTTTAATCACACAAACATTTCAATTGATTCCAGTTATGACAAAGTACGGTGAGTTCAGTTAATTATTATAAATAGTTTTAAAAAGTTTAGAAGGAAACCCAGCATAATCAGCAGAATTTCAAAATGAAAAATAGAATGAAAGCAATGTCAAATATTTAGTTTTTAATCAAAATCTAATTATTTTTGTGATATATCAATCGATACGGTCACCCCCATGATAACTGGAAAAAAAACCAATGTAGATCCAAAAAAATCATTAAAAACAGAGACTTTAAAAGATAAAAAGATAAAAAATAAAATCATTTAGATCCATCATTCTTTTGATTAGTTTTCACTTAAATACCTTTAGAAATGTGACATCATCAGAAATTTTCATTATTTCAACTTAAAATATTTGAAATCTTTTCTTAACACCGTGGTTCCCAGACTGTGGGCGCAGCCCCTGTGGGGGACACAGTGCCATTGCAGGGGGGTGCAGGAAGCGGTATGAATGAATAATAAAAAAAAAACAGTTACAGTAAAGTGTTTCACTGTAAAAATGGTTTGTAGAGTGTTTTGTTGCAACTCTTGCTATTTCTGAACTACTGCCTTTCAGAAAGGCATCATAACATCGTCCCACTATAAAACCTTCAACAACATTTTTACCAGTGTTGTACCAAGAAGTAGCTCATATGAGCTCAACAGGTTTCCGGTTCCACTAGGCGTTTGCTAACAGCTGCTGGCTAGTCTGAAGGAGCCAAGTGGGAAGTAGGAGAGGGGTGCTCTTTTACGTAATACTGCCCCTTTAAAATGTGATCCAGTTGTAATTTCAGAATAAAAGGTACATTACAGAGCAACTTGGCACTTCAGTTCCACATTATGCCATCTCACCAGAGTGGGTTCTCATGTGAACAGGTAAACTCTTTCTATAGGCGAAACATTTTCCACAGATCTCACATGAGAAAGGCTTCTCACCTGTATGAATTTTTATATGAGACTTTAAAGCCCCTTTTTCCCTAAAACTCTTTCCACATGTCACACATAAGAAAGGCCTCTCACCTGTATGAGTTCTCATGTGAATAGTTAAACAATTTCTTGCACTAAAACTCTTTCCACAAGTCACACATAAAAGGCTTCTCACCGGTGTGAGTCCTCATGTGAATAGTTAAAGAACTTCTGACCCTAAAACTTTTTCCACATGTCGTACATGAAAAAGGCTTCTCACCTGTGTGACTTCTCATGTGAAAAGTTAAATTGGTTTTATTGGTAAAATTTTTTTCACAGCACTTGCATGAGAATGGTTTCTCACCTGTGTGGATCCTCATGTGAGAGTTTAAACCATCTTTTGTAGAAAAACATTTTCCACAGGTCCCACATGTGAAAGGCTTCTCACCTGTGTGTGTTCTCATGTGAATAGTTAAACAACTTTTTATAGTAAAACCTTTTCCACAGATCCTACATGGGAAAAGCTTCTCGCCTGTGTGATCTGTCATATGAATAGCCAAATGACTTTTTTTGAATGAAATGTTTTCCACAAGTACAACATGTGAAAGGTTTCTCACCAGTGTGAGTCTTCACGTGATAGTTAAAATGAGATCTGCTCTTTAAGCTTTTTCCACAGGTCCCACATGAGTAAGGCTTTTCATCAGTATGAGTTCTCATGTGAGAAGCTAAACAACTTTTACTAGTGAATGTTTTTTCACAGCTCTTGCATGAGAAAGGCTTCTCACCTTTGTGAATTCTCTGGTGGCATGTTAAACCATCTTTTGTGAAGAAATGTTTTCGGCAAGTCCACATGAGAAAGGTTTTTCGCCTGTGTGACTTCTCATGTGAGAAATCAACCCCTTTTTTCCCTAAATTGTTTTCACATGTCACACAGGTGAAAGGCTTTTCACCTGTGTGACTTTTCATATGACTACCTAAATGACCTATTTGAGTGAAACTTTTTCCACAAGTCAAACATGTGAAAGGCTTTTCACCAGTGTGAATTCTCATGTGAGAAATTAAATGAGCTTTGTTTTTGAATTTCTTTCCACAGGTCTCACAAGAGAAAGGTTTCTTGCCTGTGTGAATCCTCATGTGAGTAGTTAAATTACTTTTTTGGTTAAACGATTTTTGACAGTTTGGACATGGGAAAGTCTTCTGAGGTTTGTGAACTCTCATATGATTACTTAAATTACTTTTGTTCCTGAAACTTCTTCCACAAACAACACAGGAGGAAAGTGTCTTTCCCTTATGAGTTGTAAAGTCAAGATCTAAACTTTTTGAGGTTTTACATGAATAAGACTTCTTCCCTGAGTGACTTCTCATGTGTTTTCAGGTTATTGTTAACGGAAAAAGTCTTATCACAAATTTTACAGGCAAATAAATTTTGGTCTTGGTCACTTTTCTTTAACATTTTTTGGTTCCTGTTTGGTTCTGTTTTATTGCTGTTTCTTTGCACATTGGAAGGAGTCACCAAAATGTCTCCAGTCTCCTGTTTCAGCACAAGCTGCTCTTCATCCTGACTGGAGAAGGGTTGATTCTCTTCCACTTTGAACAGTTTTATCTGCAGATGCTCTGGTTCTTCTTGCTCATGTTTTATCTCCAGATGCTCTGGTTCTTCTTGCTCATGTTTTATCTCCAGATGTTCTAATTCTTCTTGCTCATGTTTTATTTCCAGATGCTCTGGTTCTTCTTGTTCTTTTTTTATCACCAAGGGTTCTATTTTCTCTTGATGTAAAGTGGAGTCCCCATCCTGGTTGTTGAGCTCAGTGAAAACCTCCTCCTTTTTACTTACACAACATTGTGGAAGATCTGGACCAACAGACAAAAAGAAGCTTTGAAATTTAAGTTAAAAAGTTAATAACGAGGACATCTAAATAGGCTTTATTTGGTATAAAAATTAGCTTGATATTTTTCTGATCAAAAGGTAAGTAGATGTGTAAATAGTATGTATATTTAATATAAATAAAGGAACATTTATGCAACTTTTTTGATGAAAAGACCATGCTGTTAATAGAAAATAAACAACAATGCAAACAGTCACATGTTGAAAATCCTGCGTAATTATGCGTAATTAGCATAAACATTAGCTGACACGTTGCAGGAAGAATCTAAAGTTTCCATCTCTGACTCAATCTACTCAAGTAAAAGTTAGAAAAATACAGTGCAGTGAAACTACATATAAGCATCCTTTTTTACAAAACGTTACTCAACCTCCCACCAGTTAATTAGTTAACATTCTTGTTAACAAGCTTAACATAATACTGGCATGGATTTACTAGTCATCATTTAGCTGACATCATCTTCAAATCTTAACAATACTCAACTCACACGGCTTGTTTGGAAAAATTGTGCAAAGTTCTTTGTTATATGCTGGCTTGTAACGGCTGAAAAACGTGCAGGGGTCAAACAGGACAGAGACAGAAAGTCTAGGAGCTCCTACTGTATCAAATCGATCAATTTTTCAAATCGATACAATAATACAATTTTGGCCACTCCGAGGCAAAAACAAGCAAAATCGGTGGGCAGGCAAATCATGCCAATGCCAATGTCGTCAGAGGTGGTGTTCAATGAGAGCTTTTACTTAGATTGGTTCATTAAAGCTGTAACTTTTACAAAAGTATATTTTTCCATATTTGTTAAAGCTGTCACCATATCGTGACAATATATGAGACAAATACTCTCATTCTCCTCCTCCTTATTATTGGCATTTGAAGGCGATAATAGCCGTTTCTGGTACCTACTGGTCAGAAACAACCAATCACACCCATTTATCCGCCATCATCAGTAACCATGCTAACTAGCCTTAGCATTTGTGGCAGGCTCCATTGCAGTGAACAAACAGTATTGAATCAGAGAGCGAGTGGGTGTGCACAAGATTGATTGACAGCGCTAAGACCCTTCTCCTGATTCTGATTGTGTGTTTCTGACTGAACTGTGCATTTTTGTAGTTAGTACTGGGAGCACTGGGAGAAGGCAGAGGAGGTCTATTTAAATAAAACAAACTTGTCTTAGAAACTTTATTTTCTTTCTACAAAAGAACGAAAATAATGTTTTTCTTTTCTAAAAGTTCCGTACTGCAAATTTAAGTGCTGATATTTTTCATCTCCCAGAGTGCTGTGCGGCCCGTCAACGTTTTATCGGAAGTAGTTTTGATTCATTCTGATCACGTGTCTATTGTGGTTCATGTTCGTATGGGTTTGTCCTTTACAGATACAGCTGATTTGTCATTTACTTTACTATTTACTTTGTTGTACTTTAAATAGGTTGCCGAGTTTACTGTCGTCCCAAACAACTTCATTTAATTTTTCTCCAACTGACTTTAGCTCCACCCTTTAACCTCTCTCATCAGTAAAACGTGAGGGTGTTTCGTACCTATTCGGTGTAAGATTATCCGAGGTAATCGGGAAAAATCCAGCAGTCTGCGCTCATTATCCATCTCTTCCTCGGACTTGACGATAATTTCTTTAAACTCCGTTTCTTCAGCAGCAGTTAACTGATCCTTAATCCATTTTCTCTGAGGCTGAACTGAAGACATTGTTGCTGCAAACACTCAAATATAAATCAAACCTACAAGCTCGTCTTCAAACTGCCTTCTAACAAAGGTTATGCTAACACTGCTAGCTGTGCTCTGTTTTATCTCCGGTGCGTTTCTCTGTAGCTCCCCTGAGGAAACTGGTAAAGATATTTAGTTCCGCTTTGAATTTTCCAAATCCTGAGAATTTGAAAGAAAATAAAAAACAAACATTAATTTTGTTTTATTTTACTGTCTGAATTCTCAGAGTGAAACACGCTTGTAAATTTTTCCCTGTCTGATGTTTCAAACTTTTGAATAATTAATTTGGTAATTTTCAACTTAAAGCTAATGAAAATGCAACATTTAAGTTAAAAAAAAACTTTCTAAAGTTTATTTTCAGAAGGTACTTTATATTTCACTACAAGCATCATTAGAATGTATTTTCTAGTTTTGTATTTATCTTATTACTTTTGAAATTGTAACAATTGTTCATAATAGCACCATTACCATTAATTCTCCAGAACTGGATGACAAACTTTACATATAAACCAGATTATCACTCTTTGTTGAAGTGGCCTTTGTCCATTTTATTTATACATACTATTTGTATTTGTTTTAAAACTACAATCTGATGTGTCGATATGAAAAAATGCTAAGTCCTGTTGTCCAAGCTTAAACATCTAAACAAATTAAATAAATTAGATATTTTAATTAAACTGAAAGAAATTCAGATGCTAAAACTTTTTCTAAAAAACTAAATAATTTGGTACAAATAATCAAGTGGAGTTAAATAAATAGATTTTGGAAAAACGTAATTTGATTGTGACAAATTCATCTTTTTTTAACGTTATACTTCCTTTCTCTTTTCAGGTATAGGTACCTTTATTAGATTGAAATTAATTCTGAAAATCTTTAAGCTGTCTTCTCTTCATCAAGCGCACTTTTTTTCATTAAAATATATATTTTTAAATTATTGGCCTGGTGTAATATTTTCATCTTAAACCTAGTGTTTTCATTAGCTGAACTAAAAATAAATAAATGGTGGAAAACTACACAATGTGTAATTAATCTGCGTTTTATTTAGTGAATTGTGCTCTTTAAATAATAAACTCTGCAACAATATTCTAAATATATTCAGAATATAAATGTAATGTAATGTAAAGAAAGCGTTTCAGTGGGAACCATAAAATTGAAAGCGGAACTTAACATCTTTCATTGTTTTGTCAGTGGAGCCACAGTGGAACACACGGGAAATAAAGACGGAGCACAAATAGCAGCGTTAGCTTTTCCTTTGTTAGAAAGTGTTTTGAAGGCGGATTCGGCGTTTTAGGTAAATACATGTGTGTTTTCTATAAAAGAATATCTCCAATCCATCTTCAATGCCAGCTTATCAACGAGTGTTTAACTCCTGTTTGAAAAATCGTTTCCAGAGTTTAAAGAAATCGTCGCCAGGTCGAAGGAAGAGATGGACGATCAGCGCAGGCTGCTGGTTTTCACTCGGACTCCCCAGATCATCTTATGCCAAATAGGTAGGTTACACCCTCGCGTTTTAGCAAACAGAATAACGGCTGTAAAAATTAAATACTCGAAAAGATCAACCGTCAAATGAAGCTGAAGTTGGTGTCCGATTGCAGTTTCCGATTGGGAAAATGGCTAAAAACTAGATATCTAATGAGCTCAAGTAAAAAAAAAAAAAAAAAAATACACAAATATCAGAATATTTAAAGCCACGTCTGTAAAATTTATTGATCCTATTGATCAACTAATGTTCAAAGAAGCAGCCATCTTCTGAAAAACTGGCTTATCAGTTACACCAAGAGACTCGAAGGTCTTGAGGGGCCATTTTTATATTATGCTGAATTGAAAACAAAAAAGCACATAATTATGTTTGAACTATCTCTTGCATCAGATGTATTAAACTCATAGATTTGCAGAGCTAGTAGCTTACCACTGGTGCACTTTATTTCTGACCAGTGGTTTTGGTAAATCTTGAAACCAGTCAGTGGCCCATGCACTTTATCAATTCACAATATCAAAAGATTTCCAGAAAGACATGATAATTTCAATTCAATTATCCAGTTGGAACCAGAAGTTTATATATTTTTTTCATACCAAATAAAAATATATTTATTTTACTTTCTAAAATTAAATAAGGCCAAGCTTCTCGTCTTAGTTTTGCTAGAATTACCTAAATTATTTATATTTGCTAAATGCCAGAAAATTTTGCAAGAACCTATTTTAAAGATTTTTTTTATAACTTTCTTTGAGGGAATAAGTTTACATATGTTTGGTCAGGGATAACTGTCTTTTAAGCTGTTTGATTTGGGTCAAATCATTTGGGTTTCCTTTGACCAACGTCTAATAGGTTAGCTGACACATTTGAGTTAACTGGAGGGACATCCGTAAATGTTTTTAATGCCAGAATTGAAACACACTGCTTTCTTGTGTGACATGAAATCAGCCAAGACATCTGGAAGAGCTGCGCAAATCTCGTTCATCCTTGTGAACAATTTACAGATGCTTGAAAGCACCAAACAAGTAGATGATGGGAATGTCCAACCGTCATACCTACCAGGAAGGAGATGGGTTCTGTATCCCAGAAATGAAAGTGTTTTGGTCCAAAACGTCCAGATTGATCCAAGAACAAAATACATAAACATAAGATGTTGACTGAACAGTGTAATTATCTTCAGTAAAACCTGTTCTGCACCCAAATGGGCTAAACGCCACTCAATACTGAGGAAGCCATTACTCCAAAGAAAACAGAAAATCCAGATTCAAGTTTGTAAATGCACACAGGGTCAAAGATCGTCATGTTTGGAGACATGTCCTGTGGCTCACTGAAGCTACAGCGGAATCATTTTTGGCCCTTTATGATCATTGTTACATTTGGAGGGAAAAGTGTGATGGTTGTGCCACCCTAACTGTGAAGTATGGTGGTGGCAGCATCATGTTGTGGGATTGTTTTGCTGCAGGAGAAAAGAGGGCCTGACAGTTTACTTTATTTGACCTAACTGTCTAAATATAGTTTCTGTGCAAATTTTGATATTTTGTGTAAATTTGTTTAGTTCTGTGTTATTTTGGTTAAAACCGTCTCGGCCTCCTTCAGGCAGCTGAATGTTTCTAAAGTTTAAAGGAGCAGTATTATATAAAATTTATATTTTTAGCTTTATGTCATGTTTTAATGTTATTTTTTGCATGTTTGAGAAATCCTTCAATCTCCATGGCAACCACTTTGCCCTTTTAAAAGTTTAAATTGTCTTTTTTTAACTGATGCAGTAAAATCAGCAGTTATTTTACTTTTCTGTTGTCTGCTGCTTTTGGATCACAGCATGATCCTTTTGACCCATCTGGAGTCATCTGTTGGTATTCACTATATTTTCTGGACCATAAGGCGTACCGGATTATAAGGTGAAAGCTAAAACATACTATCTACAAAAAAAGGTCACTGAAGCAAAACAGTGAGTTTAGTTTAACTTTATTCCACTATGTGTCAATACACTCACATTATTTTTTTTTTATCGTTCTTCTTCCACAAATCCATCAAAGCCCTCATCTTCTGTGTCTGACGCCGTTTTGTCATCAGACATGCTAGTTTCCCTCTCATCATTGTCAGAGTCTCGTTGCTAGTTTGGCCGTTCAGCTTTGGCGAAAGCTTGGACAACAGTTAAAGCAGGTACCTTAGTCCCAGAATCCTCAGTCCAGTCACATACAGTGGCGTAACTCGCTAAGTGCTGCGTCCCTTGTCTTAGTAAACGTGTGTTCGCCGCCCGTCATCCATCGCTCCCACGCAGCTTGCAATTTCACTTTGAAAGCCCTACCCATGTCCAGCAGTAGTTACCGTAAGCATGTCTCTTCACTGGCGCCTCAGAAAAACAAATGTTGATTCCAGTATACCAGTGGTATTCCTTCCGGAGGTGTGGCAGAAGTGTATGTATTACGTAATGTCCTCTGATTGGTGTATTGCTGCTAGATTATGTACCGGTATTGTACTCATACCTATGTCAGGTATGTGACTTATGATTTGTCCCTGACACAGAGACGTATTAGGGACAGATTATAAGGTGAATTATAAGGCGATTTTTGAGAAAATTCAAGCCTCTGATGTGTGCTTTAGAGTGGGAAAAATATGGTAAATTGGTTCCTGTCCCATCTTTCAAATTTGAGTTGTCTGTGAATCTAGGACAGCATTCCTATTCTGTTTCTTCTCTGAAGTACAGGGTTCCCTGGATGGTCAATATTTGCCTCTTCTCTTTTTGCCTTTAGTTGCTGCCTCTGGGTTGTATTTTTAAAAAGCACCAAGTCTCTGCAGACAACGTTGAAATCTATCTACCTGTGACTACTAATGACAGCCAGTCTGATTCAGGTCGTCTTCAAGATGTACAGGCATGGCTAAGAACAATTTTTTTTGTAAATGCAATCCTCTGCTTGGCCATGACAGTGCTGTTGGCCCCCTGACCTCCATTTGTCATCCATTTATGAAAAAATCTGAGTGTGATTGTTGATCCTCTGTTTAAATTTGATAACCATATTAGCACGGTTATTCTTTTAGCAGAGGAAACTTGCTAAGATAACATTTTATCTTCCTCTGCCTGATTTTGAGAAGGTTATCATTCTATCTGTTGAGCTTTCTCAGTCAGTTGGTCAGTTTAATTTTGGATAAAACCACGTCTATCTCTCTGGCCTTCAAAACTAGTTCAAAATAAGGGAGAATATTAGTACTTCACTGATTTAATTTTTTTAAAATTTTTGTAAACTGTTTTAGCTGTCTTGGTTTTTATTAGCTTTTGGTATTTTCTGTGAATTTTATTTATTTTATTTTATTTTTTTAAACAAACTTTATTTTTATGTTTTGTTTTATAATTGGTTTATGTTTTTGTTTTTTTTAAAGCGCTTTGGAGAGCTGAGACTTTTGTAAATGTGCTATAAAGATAAATTCTGACTTTGCTGGAATTTTCAAAATTTGTCAGTGGTTATACTGACACATTGAAAGTGTGTTAGCTGTTTTTTTTAATGTTGCTGTCTTTAAATTATAGTTTTACACCTCTTTTCATGGGAAATAGTGCTTCACATGTATTTTTTTTTTCATTTAAAAAAATGTCTTTCATATTATAGGAAGAACCTATTCATACATGAGAAATCTTAGCTTTTAGGAAAATGGTTGCTTATTAATTAATCTTTAGTTGGTTGAAAGGATTGATCAACTCATTCTTCAATAACTTGATTTCTAATAAGTAAAATTGAAAGGTGTTTTCTTTTACTCACATTTATAAGCTTTTATTTTGTGTTTTTGTCCAGATCTCTCACGATGCATTGTAGTTAAAGAAGAGGAGGAGGTTCCCGTTGAGCTCAATAACCAGGATGAGAATTCCACTTTAGATCGAGAGGAACCAGAACCTCTGGGGATAAAACAGGAGCAAGAGGAACCGGAACATCAACATTTAAAAGAAAACCAACTCTGCATCAGTCAGGATGAAGAGCAGCTTGTGCAAAAACAGGATACTGATTCTCCTGAAGTTGAGAATCGGGATCAAGAAGAAATTGATTCTGAAAATCAAGGAAAAAATAGAGATGATCAGAAAGAACATGAGAGACGTCAGAAGACCAAACAGCAGAAAGGGACTCTCCCAGGCCACAGTTTGTATTCCTGTGAAATTTGTGATAAAATCTTTTCTGGAGAAAAGGGTTTTACAATACACATGAGAAATCACATGCGAGAAAACATATGGATGTACAACCTGTGGAAAACGTTACTATAGCAGAAGTGGTTTAAATCTGCACATGAGAGCCCACACTGGGGAAAAACCGTTCACATGTGCAACCTGTGGAAAAAGCTATGGTAGCAGGGTTTCTTTACATTTTCATATGAGAACTCACACAGGGGAAAGGCGGTTCAAATGTGTTGTTTGTGGAAAAGATTTCCGTCAAAGTTCAGCTTTACATACTCACATGAGAACTCACTCAGATCAGAAGCCTTATTCATGCACAACCTGTGGAAAAAGGTTTTCTAATAAAAGCGTGTTAAATTCTCACCTTATAATTCACACAGGTGAGAAACGTTACTCATGTATTGCTTGTGGAAAACGTTTTAGTCAGAAAAGTCAGTTACGGTATCACATGATGACTCACACAGGTGAGAAACCCGTTTCATGCATGACCTGTGGAAAAACTTTCACTCATAAAGGTAATTTATCTGAGCACATCAAAACTCACACAGGTGAGAAGCCTTTTTCATGTTCTACTTGTGGGAAATGTTTCAGTCACAAAAGCCTTTTAAGAAATCACATGAGAAGACACACAGGTGAGAGGCCTTTTTCATGTACCACCTGTGGAAAGACTTACAGTGAGAGAAGTGGTTTAGCTTATCATGTCAAAACTCACACAGCTGAGAGACCTTTCTCCTGTGTGACCTGTAAGGCAAGTTTCCGAAAACAATCCTTTTTAACACATCACATGAAAACTCACACAATTGAGAAGACGTTCTCATGTGTGACCTGTGGAAAAACTTTCACTGAGAAATGTGAATGGCTATTCACAAGAAAACTCATAGGGATGAAGGGCCTTTCTTATGTGCAATATGGTAAAAGTTTCCGTGGAAGAAGTAGTTTAAATTACCACATGAAAAATCATGCAGAGGAAAAGCCTTTCTCATGTGTGACCTGTGGAAAAGGGTTTCTTAGAAAGTCTCATTTAATATGTCACATGAGGAGTCACACAGGGGAGAAGCCTTTCTCATGCATGACATGTGGAAAAAGTTTCTCTGTGAAATGTAACTTAACTTTTCACATGAAGACTCATACAAATGAGAAGCCATTCTCATGTTCAACCTGTGGTAAAGGTTACCATAATAAAAGTAGTTTCAATTACCATATGAGAAATCACACAGAGGAAAAGCCATTTCTGTGTGTGACCTGTGGAAAAAGATTTGTTCATAATTCTCATTTAATTTTGCACATAAGAAGTCACACTGGGGAGAAACCTTTCACATGCACAATATGTGAGAAAAGCTATGCCATAAAAAGCAGGTTAACTGTTCACATGAAAACTCATACAGGCTAGGAGCCTTTCTTCTGCGTGTTCTGTTGAGAAGCTTTTGAGCAGAAATGTCCTTTACTACATCACACAAATGTGAGACAAAGTGATGCGAACTTGAATTATCAAGGTAGGAAATGTTTGTTTAGAAAAGAGTAATTTCATGAAGACTGAATGAATCACATGTAATGTCTTCAAATAATAAGTTTAGCTGAAATACTTTATAAAATTAATAATTTTTTGGACTTTCACTTTAACATTTAAATTTTTTTTTTTCAGTGAGATCATCAGTGTCTTCAGAAAATTGTTTTGAATGTATTTTTTTAAAGAACAATGGGTTTCAGTTCTTTTGCAGTGGATTTTTTTTACTTTGACTTTTGTTACAATAGTATATGTGAAATAGAATCACTCAGCTATGTGCATATGTAGATACAAATGTGAAAATAAGTAAAGACAAAAAGTTTTGTTCTTTTGCTGTACTTTGTATTTTTCTTTAAATATTTTTGTTACTGGATACATGCAGACTAGTAGGCTGCATGATTTACCTTTACTTGGATTAATTTTAAAATTTCTAGATCTAAATTGCATTTACAACTGAATTGACTGGACTGAATATGAAATCACTTATGTTTTGTATTTTAGTAATTTTGTAGAAAATAGTTTTCTTTGATATTCAATTGCTTTCTTTTTTTGAACGAAAAGCCTAATTTAGTCATGATTTTGTAAGGCAATAAAAGAGTAAAACATCCAAGGCGGTGAAATTCTTTTTGTAGGAAATTATGGACCACAAATGATTTGCATGTACATACTTCTCGTATGCATTACAAAGCCTGGCAGTTTGTCATGAACCACCATGTCATCTACATAATAAAGTAAATCACTAAATATTAAAATTCTCACCCACCACGGGTGGTTCTTATCCTCTGAGCTCGGGTCCTCTACCAGAGGCCTGGGAGCTAGAGGGTCCTGTGCAGTGTCTTGGCTGTGCCTTGGACTGCACATTTCTGGACTGAGATGAAATGCAAAGGGTGTTTGAAAGCCATATCTGTTGCGATCTTTTGGGTCTACCTTAAGATACATAATTTTCATGCAGTCCAGAAGCATTCACTAAAATTGCTCAGTGTTCAGATGTGAAATGTTAAGGCATCAAAAAAGCCAATTCATTTGACAGAAGGAAGAAGAAACAGTACGATTAAATTAGACCTTTGGAGCGCCTCGCTGCAAACAGGCCCTTTGCAGCCTGTTTGCAAAGAGTTATTTTTTTCTGATTTTGTTTCACTGGATAATAAAAATTAAGACACTAAAGATAAAGAAACTGAGTTGAGCATTATGTGGAGAAATTCTGTCTTTTCTTTGTCTCATCAAATAACATTTAAAACTGATCATTTTTTCTTTTCTGAGATCTCTGGTACAACGTAATATATTTTGACAAATATCCTAGCAGTCAGAGGGAAATTTTTTCGTTTTCAATCAAAATAAAGCCTATTCAGATGCACCAATAGATTAAAGTGAAATGTTCACAAAAAGAGTAAGTCCACTTGAGAAAAGGAGAAACCAGAGCCTTTTAAAATAAAACTGGACTTAGAGGAACCAGAGAGACAAAGAGCAGAAATAAAACAAGATAGCAAAAAAAGAACTACTGAAGGTTCAAAAAAATAAGCCCCCAAAAACGCACCTTGACCAAAATGTGTATTCCTGTAAAATTTGTGATAAAATCTTTTTCTAAAACGAGTCCTTGACAAACCACACAAGGACTCATATAGGTGAGAATCATTTCACCTGTATAATTGATGGGGAAAAATGGAAATAAAAGGTTTAAATTGTCACACGAGGATCACAAAGATGAGAAAACTTTCTCATGTTTTACTTTTGTTTTGACAGCGCCTCACATTAAGACTGCAGGAGGATTAAAAACATCATTTTTACTCATACAGTCTGCTTCACATTGAGAGGGAATTAAGAAATTCAAAGCGGAACTAAAATAAGTTTCGTGTTTCTTCAGTGGAGCCTCCGTGAAACACCCAAGAAATGAAAACAAAGCACAGTTAGTTGCTAGCCTTTCTTCAGTTAAATTGTTTGGGTTTGTGTATTTTAGCAAATATTTGAGTGTTTGTAGTAACTCTGTCTCCACTTTAGTCCCAGAGAGAGTTAATAAGCGAGCAGTTAACTCCTGCTGAAGAAACTTTGACAGAGTTTGATGAAATCATCGTCCAGTCGGAGGAAGAGATGGATGATCAGCGCAGACTGCTTGATTTCTCCCGGACTCCCCAGATCATCTTACACCAAATAGGTAGGAAACAGCAGCGTTTGGATGCAGGTTAAGGTCTAAATGTCTGCACCTTTCTGCATGAGGATCATTTTAGTAAACGCTCTTTTCCCGGATAAATGTTTTGTTAGCAGGTAAATGAACGCAGACATCACAATGAGAATGGCTGATTTATGGAGAAAATGAACTTTTTATGGCTCTTCCTCCTTTAACTACTGAGTCTTTCTTTTGAAAACGGGAGAAATGTGAACAATGCAGCGCGAGGTTAGTAAAGAAAGCAGCATAAACTAATAATAGCGGTGTTAGAAGCTGTAAAATGTAATAATTTGTAATAAATAAATTGTTGTGGATTGTTTGCTTCATACGTACAAAAAGAAGTTCAATGTCCAAAAACTTGAAGATTGTTTTTATAGTTTATTTTTCTAGTTTAAGCAAATAATAAAATAAACTTTTCATTAGTATGTGTCGAGTAATCCAGGAGGATTTTAATGAAGCACATAAAACAGAGAATTCACCTAAACCAGAATACAGTTAAAGTTTTTATTTTTAGTAATAAATCGTTGCTCCTGGTGAAACAGCGAATAACAAGCCAATCACAACTCTCTGTTTTCTATTTGTTTCTAGTTTCCTTTTTGATGCTGCCATTGTTTCATACAAACAGATTAATCAGAATCACAAACATCTTTTACTTGTTTACTCATTGTAAGGCTTCGTGTTGTTTTCACGTTGCCTATTTTACATATATTGTCCACTTGATGTCACAGTGGAGCATATGAAGCACCGCGGTGCATCGGCTCATGAGTCCATGATGGGATGGAGTTCCTCAGAGCTTCATGAAGCTTCATCTCACCATCACTACTTTTCATTGTTTCTTCTCCTGCTCTGGTCAAAACCCACAGGCCCAACCAGTGCATGCTGGTCCTTTACCAGTCCCTATACTTACAGGAAATGGACCCACAGTTCTTCCTGTCTAACTTAGAAAAGCAATAATAAAGGAACAAACCTAAACAACTATTAACCTACAAATAAACTCATGTTTATAACTCAACCCCAAAGATCTAAAGTGTACAAAATTAGATTTAAATTACATTTAACTATTATTCAAAGTAATAAAAAATAATATATTTAAATAATACAGTTTACTATAAATACTAACAACAATCCCTACAATGTTTAATTTTGTAATAAATCAAATGATTTTTTTCCTCTCCTACTCTGGTCAAAACCCACAGGCCCAACCAGTGCATGCTTGTCCTATACCAGTCCCTATACTTACAGAAAACGGACCCACAGTTCTTCCTGTCTAACTTAGAAAAGAAAATGACAAAGGAACTGTCTTAAATGATGAATGATTTCTCCTTTTAATTCATTAAAGTTAACAATTTCTCTTTTCTCTGTTTGCTTATCCAGATTCCCTGAAGTGTAACGTTTATAACCAGGAGAGGAGATCCACTCTGGACCAGGAGGAGTTAGAACCTCTGCAGGTGAAACAAGAACAGGAAGAGCCAGAAGATCATCAGATAAAAGAAGAACAGAAGGATCTAGAACACCTGCAGATAAAAGAGGAAGAGAAAGAAGTTACTGCAGTCAGAGGGAAGAACAGATTGAATTAAAACAGGAGAGTGATACCTGCATGGTGGTTCCTGTTGATGAGCAAACCCAAACTGAGTCAGAACCAAACAGAAACCAAGACATCTTCCAAGAGCCTGATGAAACTGAACAAAATCAGGAAAGAAGAAAATTTTTATGTGTGACCTGTGGAAAAATTTTAGTGTAAAATGGCACTTAACTCGGCACTTGATGATTCACTGATGAAAAGCCATTTTCATGCGAACTGTGGAAAAAGTTTTCGTAAAAAACTAAATTTAACTCGGCACATGATGATTCACACTGGTGAAAAGCCTTTTTCATGTGTGAACTGTGGAAAAGGTTTTATTCAAAAACCGGCATTAACTCAGCACATGAGGATTCACACTGGTGAAAAGCCATTTTCATGTGGTAACTGTGGGAAAAGTTTTAGTCATAAACTGTGTTTAACTCAGCACATGAGGATTCACACTGGTGAAAAGCCTTTTTCATGTGGGAACTGTGGAAAAAGTTTCGTAAAAAACTAAATTTAACTCAGCACATGATGATTCACACTGGTGAAAAGCCATTTTCATGTGTGAACTGTGGAAAAAGTTTTCGTCAAAAACAAGATTTAACTCAGCACATGAAGATTCACACTGGTGAAAAGCCGTTTTCATGTGTGAACTGTGGAAAAAGTTTTGGTAAAAAAAATTTAACTCATCACATGATGATTCACACTGGTGAAAAACCGTTTTTATGTGTGAACTGTGGAAAAAGTTTTAGTCAAAAACGGGCATTAACTCATCACATGATGATTCACACTGGTGAAAAGCCGTTTTTATGCGTGAACTGTGGAAAAAGTTTTAGTCAAAAACAGAGTTTAACTCAGCACATGATGATTCACACTGGTGAAAAGCCTTTTTCATGTGGAATCTGTGGAAAAAGTTTTAGTCAAAAACAAACTTTAATTTATCACGTGTTGATTCACACTGGTGAAAAGCCGTTTTCATGTGTGAACTGTGGAAAAAGTTTTCGTCTAAAACAGCATTTAACTCGGCACATGAGGATTCACACAATTGAAAAGCCGTAGAAGTATTTTCCATTTGTGTCTCATGTTGAGGTTCACTATTAAATGTATTTGGTTAAAAACTAAAATTAATGACTGGAGGGATTTCATGTCTATACATTTTGACATTTGGATATTTAGACATGTGAAACATTTCCGTGAGAGATGTGGTTTTTTTTCTATTCTGCATCAAATATCATGACAAACTGTATTCTTATTCTATAAACAATTCAATAAAATGACATGAATTCTTACAAATAAATTGGGTGATACATTGTATTACGTGACATTAAATGCTCTTGTGGTTACTGGGTATAAACTGATCTTCAGTTTGTTTGTCCTTGTTTCAATGCTCCTTTATCTGCAGCCAGTTGGAACAAACTGTGACCGGGTTGTGAGGAGTCTTTTAAAATGTTCTTAGAGAAAAGGCAGAGCAGCCAATAGTCCTCTGGGCAAATTTCATGATCTCTGCAGAGTCTTCCTCTGTGCAAAAATTTGTCATTTTTCACTTTCATTCACATATAACTTTAACAAACTACTGTGGATTTCAACCTATAGGCTTCATTTTTGGCCAGGATGCAGTTAAGGGGTGGGGCTTTAAAAGTTATCAAACAAATTGAGTTTTTGTATATGTTCAGGTGGTGTGGTGAATTTGGTGTACTCACCAACACAAACAAAACGTTATGATGTTCACTTAAGTTCAATTGGCACAAAACTTGGCATGAATGATCCTGGTTGGATCCCTGACAATGTTGTCATAATCTGACGTCATCTGAGCCCCTCCCCCTCTAAACAGGAAGTTACTTTTTCTTGAAAAGTTCCTTGTCTTGACATAATCAGTGTGATCGTGTGTCTGATGACAGACAACAAGCTGGTCTCACTTTTCTGAAAGTGGCAATGGTGGCGCGGCGACGTGACGGTTTACGCTGCTGCCATACGTTTGGCTATAAATCCCACCTGTTTTAACCGAGCTGGACCAAATTCACTGATTGATCCTTGTCCAACCCCTGGCAGGAATGCGGTCCAATATTTGGTGGGTTTGGCCTAATTTTTACACAGCGTCCCCTAGAATCATATCAAAAATCAGCCCCAAGCCACGCTTTGGCCGACAATCATAAAATTCACCACACATGCACATCTTGGTGGGTGGTAAAAAAAATTGTTCACCAAAGCCTCAAATCTGACCATTTGCCATGAAACATCAAGGTGGAATAACATCCCCACATAAGCTCCCAGATGGATAAAGCTTCATTTGTGGCATCACAGACCAGAGCTCATCACATTCACATAATCAATTAGTGACATCACAACTCCTGCCCCATTCAACAGGAAGTAACATGTTTTCCTGCTCTTTCTCTTCCCTTTACTCGGCTGTTCATGCAGATTTCAACCTGTGTTTAAGCAAGTTGAACAACATGATGGTAAATCCTTCTCTCAACACCGGCTGGCGGCAGCATGTGGATGTGGCTGAATGGCGAATACTAATCCCTCACTGTTTCCATACCTTTGTTTCAAAATCATACATGCATCATTATATTTGCACTGATCTTGTTATGACTGACTTTGTTAACCTCTGTAGAACCCAATGGCATTCAGTTGTAATGTCACTCCACTGCGCCACCTAGGATATTCCAACAGCTATTTCTCCTTTATATCTCAACAGATTTGCAGCAGATTTTTTTGTGCATCATCATGGAGCACTGCTGAACACAACAGTGTATAACGGACAGGTGTGGGAACTGCGTGAGAAAGTTGATAGTGGCGAGCGAGTGGCTTTGATGGAGCTCACACAGACACAATAAGGACAGAGCGGCGTTGAGCTGCAACAGCCTCCAACGCTTTAATTTTGTTTAATACTTGTTTTAAAAGTCTGTCGGCATGAATAACATGTCCCACGAGGCTGATTTGATTTTGTGCTACTGTTTTCTTAGTGGTTCATAGGAAATAGTAACATTTTTGCAACACGTAAGCTTTCAAATGGGCTCATCCGGGATTTAAACCGGGACCTCTCGCACCCGAAGCGAGAATCATACCCTAGACCAAGGAGCCGCTTTTCCCGGCTGTGATATTTCAAGTGGCCGCAGCACAGAGCTGATGCTGATAGACGAAGAGACATTGTGATCCATTGAGCCTGTGGTTGATCAGTTAAATACTATTGAGAGGGAATAGAAGATTTTGGGCTTTTTAAAAATACTGGGATCATTATGAGAATTTGAGGCATTGACCTGAGGATCCAATAGGTGGCAGTAGCACAAGAGCAATGGACGCATACCGCCGTTACAGTGAAAAGCAGAAGAAGAAGCAGAAGAAGAAGACAGAGAGGCACATGGTCTGTTTTGTTGAATGTTTCTCTAATAAATATCTCCAGTCCAGCTTAAACCAGTGAATCAGCGAGCAGTGAACTGCAGAAACATTGACAGAGTTTAAAGAAATCATCGTCCAGTCGGAGGAAGAGATGGAGGATCAGCGCAGACTGCTTGATTTCTCCTGGACTCCCCATATTGCCTATGTATTTACGGAGAACCAGAATACTAATATTGTATTTGTCTCATTTAAATCAAGTGGAAGAGAAGATTTTAGTGTTTTCAAAGATAACTATTACTTTATTAGAAATCATTAGATGTCATGCTCATACTATCCAGAAGGTGGCGGAATATAAATAAGTAAACATTAAAAAAGTTCCAAAGAAGAAGAAGCAGCAGACGAAGTAGAAGAAACAGAAGATGGCGCCTGGTCTGTTTCGTCGAATGTTGGAGTTTTAGTGAAAAAAGTTTCAAGAAACATTGACAGAGTTTAAAGAAGTCATCGTCCAGTCGGAGGAAGAGATGGATGATCAGCGCAGACTGCTTGATTTCTCCCGGACTCCCCAGATCATCTTACACCGAATAGGTAGGAAACAGCAGCGTTTGGATGCAGGTTAAGGTCTAAATGTCTGCACCTTTCTGCATGAGGATCATTTTAGTAAACGCTCTTTTCCCGGATAAATGTTTTGTTAGCAGGTAAATGAAGGCAGACATCACAATGAGAATGGCTGATTTATGGAGAGAAAATGGAGTTTCTCACAATCTGAGCTTTGTGCTGCGTCAGTGTTTCGTTGTGTAGTGGAAGTAGTGTCAGTAGTCAGTTAAAACGTTGTAGCTCTGGAAGAAGGGACTTTGTAACGGCAGCCCCAAAACAAATACACACATCATGTGCAAATAAAGTTGCCGAAACTGAAGAAGAGTCTGTTTCGTGAGTGCAACACTATTTGTGTGTTTGGTTTCCATCCATCCGTTTTCTAACTCGCTTATCGCGAGAGTTTCTGATGCATCTCCAGCAGTTGCATATTTAGGTTTATATTGTACATATTTCATACTTTAGTTGCACTTTTCCAACTGGATTTTCTTTCATTGTACATGTGTAAATCCAAATTAATTCAGTCTTTGGATTAATTAATTAATTCATTCATTAATCTTGTTATTAGAGGATGATCAGGGTCTCTGCTCCAACTCTGTATTTCTAACGGGACGATTTGTCTAATTTTAGATATTTTTTCCATGTAGCGTTTTTTTGGGGCTTCTGGGAGAAGCTTTTCACAATATAGCCCACTTTGTTTCAAACTGCTTCTCAGCATTATGGAAGAGGAAGATACAGCGGAAACGTGATAAAACCATCAGAAAAGGTTTGTTTTGGTTTGTGGTAAGACAAGATGGCGCCCAGCGACGTAAACGTCACACTCAGTGACGTCACTTCCAAGCCTCTATACTTTCAGCAAATGGACCCACAGTTCTTCCTGTCTAACTTAGAAAAGCAAATAATAAAGGAACAAAACTAAACAACTATTAACCTATAAATAAACTCATGTTTATAACTCAACCCCAAAGATTTAAAGTGCACGAAAATTACATTTTACTATTATTCCAAGTAATAAAAAATAATATATTGAAATAATACAGTTTACTATTAAATATTAAGAATAATCCCTATAATGTTTAATTTTGTAATAAATAAAATGATTTTTTTTTATCAGTTCATTTGAGAATTCTCCAAAATGTCGACTGGATTTGTCGACTGATGTATATCTCTGTCTACGCTGTTGAATTTTCAAATGTTATTTTGTTCATTTCTGTCTTAAACTGTGAACAATTTCTCCTATTTACTTCAGTAAAGTTAACAATTTCTCTTTTCTCTGTTTGCTTATCCAGATTCCCTGAAGTGTAACGTTTATAAACAGGAGAGGAGATCCACTCTGGACCAAGAGGAGTTAGAACCTCTGCAGGTGAAACAAGAACAGGAAGAGCCAGAAGATCATCAGATAAAAGAAGAACAGGAGGATCTAGAACACCTGCAGATAAAAGTGGAAGAGAAATAAGTTTACTGTAGTCTTGGTGAAGAGCTGATTTAATTAAAACAGGAGACTGATACCTGCATGGTGGTTCCTGTTGATGAGCAAACATACCAAACTGAATCAGAACCAAACAGGAACCAAGACATGTTAGAAAAGCCTGATGAAACTGAGAACAAAAATCAGGAAAGAAGAAAATTTTTATGTGTGACCTGTGGAAAAAGTTTTAAAGTCTTTTAACTCGGCACATGATGATTCACACTGGTGAAAAGCCGTTTTCATGTGGGAACTGTGGAAAAAGTTTTAGACATAAACTTTGTTTAACTCGGCACATGATGATTCACACTGGTGAACAGCTGTAGAAGTATTTTACATACTTGTTCTATGTTGAGGTTCACTTTAGAATTGATTTAGTTAAAAACTAGAATTAAAGGCTGGAGGGGTTTCATGTCTGTAAAGCTGAAAATTGTTGTATTTGTTAAATGTGATCATATGGACGTTGTGCAACCATCAATAAACAATAATGATAAACTTTATGTTATTGTATTAACATGCTGTTTATGTCAAACTGTATCTTGTGTTTGTGCAATGTTTATTAAGATTGCGTCCTCCTCTTCCAAAAAGGTGAAAGAAAGCGCTGCCAATAGATCCAGGTTATAGATGAAGGTCTCTGAGCAGGTAGAGCAGTTTTAATCAGCCATCTCTAGTTCCAAAACTAAACACCTAGACTCTTCAAATGTAGACTAGATTATTTTGAACTAAAAGCCAGAATATTTAAAACATTATGTGATTTGTGAAACTTCAAGACTTTGTTTTTGTACCCCTGTTATACTAGAACTTCTTTAATTCCAAATCTCAACACATTTACTCTTCAAACCTAAACTAAATTATTCTGAAACCTTGTCTGATTTGTGAAATTTCACTTCACTTAACAGAGCGCTGCAGAAGATCTTTCCTTCCAATTGAGTTTCTTTCTTGCAATATTTAGTAACATTTCAGATAAAAAAAAAAGTGTATTGGTCAAAATAGGAATCGGCGGGTCAGACGTTTTAAAAATCTGTAATCAGAAATCAGTCAGAATACTGCAATTGGGGAGCAATTGTTTATTTGTGATTTCTCTACTAAACAATGAAATTCTTCTCTCATTTACTTCAATAAAGATAACAATTCTTTGTTTTTCTGTGTTTCTTGTCTAGAGGCCTACAAACATAACGTTTATGAGGAGATATGTAACAAGGAGAGGAGCTTCACTCTGGACAAGGATGAGTTTGAACCTTTGCAGGTGAAACAAGACTAGGAATTGCCCGAAAGTCAGCAGATAAAAGAGGAGCAGGAGGATCTTGAACACCTCCAGATAAAAGAGAGCAGGAGGATCTAGAACATCAGCAGATAAAAGTGGGATGACAACAAAGGTTACTACAGTCAGAGTGATAAGCTGTCTGAGCTAAAACAAGAGACTACCTGTCTGTTTTTCCTTTTTATGAACAAACATATCAAACTGAATCAGAACCAAACAGGAACAAAGACATCATCCAGGAAGAGGCTGAAGCTGAGAACCAAAATCAGGAAAGAAAAAAACCTTTCTCATGTGTCATCTGTGGAAAACGTTTCACTTTCAAATCTGCTTTTGAGCCTCACATGAGGATTCACACTGGTGAAAAGCCGTTTTCATGTGTGAACTGTGGAAAAAGTTATCGTCAAAAATACGATTTAACTCAGCACATGAGGATTCACTTAGGTGAAAAGTTGTAGAAGTATTTTCCTTGTATGATTTGTCACCAACTTAATGGTGAGCAACCCTGAATTTTTTTTCCTTGGGTAATTTATTTAATTTTTTTTGCTGGCATATTTTGTAGCACAAAATTCTTAAAAACTGAGAATCTATGGTGATCCCAAACCTGAAACATGGATCTATGAATTGTTATTCTGATGAAAAATTGTTCAGTTTTGTAATGTAACATTAACAGAGTCTGACCGGACATGGATTCCCTGCTGGAACATCGTAACGAGGTTGGACTACCAGGATTGATTTTTATTATTCTGGAAAAAAGAGAGATTTCATGGGGTTTACTTATTGTTATTTAATCAAAAACGAAACGAACTGGAATGGGTGATTGTTTTTAATGAATCTATACAGAAATATATTGTGATGGGTTTGTCTTTAATGCAAGATGAGATTGAAACTGATGCTGTCAGTTCAAGTTATATTACCCAGTCATGCTGTACCTATTTAAAATCTTCAAATTAAATAAAATTAATTTGTACTTTAAGAATGTCTGTGATTGATTTCAATAAATGACTTTTTCCCTTGTTTCAGTTGTAATAACATAAAGGAGATTGGAGCAACTGCATTCTCCTCCAAACACACTATATGCTGCTGGGAGAAGTCATTCGCAGAGTCCCAATGTCCTTCCCCAGATAAGGGCCACAGATTCCCAAAACCCAGATACTCCCCCAAACCAGCAGCAATATTTCACAAGACAGCTGGATCTTCAGAACATAGCTAACATTCCTGGATCCAAATGATCTGCTATTAAACAAATATAAATGAGGCTATAAAAAGTTAATGTTGACATACAGTTAGAATTGTTCCAATCTCAGGTTTATGGTACAATTTTCAGGGAACACAAAGCAGTCGCAGAGACAGAGGAATAATGCATCAAATGATGTCAGATGTCAGAATAAATGTATAAATGTGAGTATAAGGAGCAAAAGCATATCTGGGCGTGGGGCCTTAATTATTTTGTCTATTTAAAATTTCTCATTTTTACAGTATTGTAGGAAATGTTTTTGGCATAACATATCAAACATGTTGCAGAATGTGAAAAATTAGTTAGAGAACAATATTGCCTATGTATTTACGGAGAACCAGAATACTAATATTGTATTTGTCTCATTTAAATCAAGTGGAAGAGAAGATTTTAGTGTTTTCAAAGATAACTATTACTTTATTAGAAATCATTAGATGTCATGCTCATACTATCCAGAAGGTGGCGGAATATAAATACAAGTAAACATTAAAAAGTTCAAAAGAAGAAAGCAGCAGACGAGTAGAAGAAACAGAAGATGGCGCCTGGTCTGTTTCGTCGAATGTTTGAGTTTTAGTGAAAAAGTTTGAAGAAACATTGACAGAGTTTAAAGAAATCATCGTCCAGTCGGAGGAAGAGATGGATGATCAGCGCAGACTGCTTGATTTCTCCCGGACTCCCCAGATCATCTTACACCGAATAGGTAGGAAACAGCAGCGTTTGGATGCAGGTTAAGGTCTAAATGTCTGCACCTTTCTGCATGAGGATCATTTTAGTAAACGCTCTTTTCCCGGATAAATGTTTTGTTAGCAGGTAAATGAACGCAGACATCACAATGAGAATGGCTGATTTATGGAGAGAAAATGGAGTTTCTCACAATCTGAGCTTTGTGCTGCGTCAGTGTTTCGTTGTGTAGTGGAAGTAGTGTCAGTAGTCAGTTAAAACGTTGTAGCTCTGGAAGAAGGGACTTTGTAACGGCAGCCCCAAAACAAATACACACATCATGTGCAAATAAAGTTTCCGAAACTGAAGAAGAGTCTGTTTCGTGAGTGCAACACTATTTGTGTGTTTGGTTTCCATCCATCCGTTTTCTAACTCGCTTATCGCGAGAGTTGCTGATGCATCTCCAGCAGTTGCATATTTAGGTTTATATTGTTCATATTTCATACTTTAGTTGCACTTTTAAAACTGGATTTTCTTTCATTGTACATGTGTAAATCCAAAGTAATTCAAAGTTTTTATATCTTGTTATTAGAGGATGATCAGGGTCTCTGCTCCAACTCTTTATTTCTAACGGGTCGATTTGTCTAATTTTAGATATTTTTTACATGTAGCGTTTTTTGGGGCTTCTGGGAGAAGCTTTTCACAATATAGCCCACTTTGTTTCAAACTGCTTTTCAGCATTATGGAAGAGGAGGATACAGCGGAAACGCGATAAAACCATCAGAAAATGTTTGTTTTGGTATGTTGCCATACAAAATGGCGCCCAGCGACGTAAACGTCACACGCAGTGACGTCACTTCCAAGCCTCTGGACTTTCAGCAAATGGACCCACAGTTCTTCCTGTCTAACTTAGAAAAGCAAATAATAAAGGAACAAAAACTAAACAACTATTAACCTACAAATAAACTCATGTTTATAACTCAACCCCAAAGAATTAAAGTGCACGAAAATTACATTTAACTATTATTCAAAGTAATAAAAAAATAACATATTGAAATAATACAGTTTACTATTAAATACTAACAATAAGCCCTACAACATTTAATTTTGTAATAAAATGAATTGTTTTAATCAGTTCATTTTAGAATTCTCCAAATGTCAGCTTGATTTGTTGACTGATGTGTATCTCTGTCTACGCTGTTGAATTTTCAAATGTTATTTTGTTCATTTCTGTCTTAAACTGTGAACAATTTCTCCTATTTACTTCAGTACTGTTAACAATTACTCTTTTCTCTGTTTGCTTGTCCAGATTCCCTGAAGTGTAACGTTTATAAACAGGAGAGGAGATTCACTCTGGACCAGGATGAGTTTGAACCTCTGCAGGTGAAACAAGAACAGGAAGAGCCAGAAGATCATCAGATAAAGAAGAACAGAAGGATCTAGAACACCTGCAGATAAAAGTGGAAGAGAAAGAAGTTTACTGCAGTCAGGGTGAAGAGCTGATTGAATTAAAACAGGAGACTGATACCTGCATGGTGTTCCTGTTGATAAGCAAACATACCAAACTGAATCAGAACCAAACAGGAACCAAGACATCTTAAAAAAGCCTGATGAAACTGACAACAAAAATCAGGAAAGAAGAAATTTTTTTTGTGTGACCTGTGGAAAAAGTTTCGGTCGAAAACAGCATTTAACTAAGCACATGATGATTCACACTGGTGAAAAGCCGTTTTCATGTGTGAACTGTGAAAAAAGTTTTCGTCAAAAACAGCATTTAACTCAGCACATGATGATTCACACTGGTGAAAAGCTGTTTTCATGTGTGAACTGTGGAATATGTCTTAGTCAAAAACGGGCATTAACTCAGCACATGATGATTCACACTGGTGAAAAGCCTTTTTCATGTGTGAACTGTGGAAAATGTTTTAGTCAAAAACATTATTTAACTCAGCACATGATCATTCACACTGGTGAAAAGCTGTTTTCATGTGTGAACTGTGGAAAAAGTTTTAGACATAAACTTTGTTTAACTCGGCACATGAGGATTCACACTGGTGAAAAGCCGTTTTCATGTGTGAACTGTGGAAAAAGTTTTAGACATAAACTTTCTTTAACTCGGCACATGAGGATTCACACTGATGAAAAGCCGTTTTCATGTGTGAACTGTGGAAAAAGTTTTAGTCAAAAACAGGATTTAACTCGGCACATGATGATTCACACGGGTGAAAAGCCGTTTTTTTTCATGTATGTGGAAAAAAACAGCATTTAACTGAGCACATGATGATTCACACTGGTGAAAAGTCTTTTTCATGTGTGACCTGTGGAAAAAGTTTTAGACATAAACTTTGTTTAACTCGGCACATGATGATTCACACGGGTGAAAAGCCATTTTCATGTGTGAACTGTGGAAAAAGTTTTGGTCAAAAACAGCATTTAACTCAGCACATGATGATTCACACTGGTGAAAAGCCGTTTTCATGTGTGACCTGTGGAAAAAGTTTTAGACATAAACTTTGTTTAACTCTGCACGTGAGGATTCACACTGGTGAAAAGCTGTAGAAGTATTTTCCATACTTGTTCTATGTTGAGGTTCACTATAGGATTAATTTAGTTAACTACTAGAATTAAAGGCTGGAGGGTTCTCATGTCTATAAAGTTGAAAATTGTTGTATTTGTTAAATGTGATCATATGGACGTTGTGCAACCATCCAAAAGCAATAATGATCAACTTTATGTTATTGTATTAACATGTTGTTTATATCAGACTGTATGTTGTGTTTGTACAATGTGAAGAGCAGAGGGCTCAGCTCAGAGCCCTGAGGAGAGCCAGTACTGATGCTGATAGATGAAGAGACATTGTGGTCCATTGTGACTAATTTCATGCATTAACAGAGTTTGACTGGACATGGACTCCCTTCCAGAACATTCTCACAAGATTGGACTTGAGGGATTGATTTGTATTATTCTATTCTGTATAGAGAAAGTGTGAGGGATGGATGTTGTTTACCTTAATACACTTATTATCAAAAATACAATGTGCTGTTATGCACTGACTTTACATTTTCACTGATGTACAATGAAAAACACATTTTAAAACTTTGTAAAATCATACATTTATTTTTCTTGATTTTATAAAGTACAGTTGATTATTATTGTCTTCAATTATTTAGTGTTTCTTTTGTCTTAGTTGTATTTTTCTCTTTTCTGCTGCAGCTTTTTCTATTACTAGAAAAAGATTTTAGGTTCTGCAAAGAGAACTGGCACTTTATGAGAAATCTGTAGATGTGTGATGATCGTAGGATCCACAAGGTGGCGGTAATGCGATGACATGAATGAACGACAGTCATAAAACTCCAAAGAAGAAGAAGCAGAACATAATGGCGCCAGGTCTGTTTTGTTGAATGTTTGAGTGTTTCTCTAATAATATCTTCAGTCCAGCTTAAACCAGTGAATCAGCGAGCAGTGAACTGCAGAAACATTGACAGAGTTTAAAGAAATCATCGTCCAGTCGGAGGAAGAGATGGATGATCAGCGCAGACTGCTTGATTTCTCCCGGAAACAGCAGCGTTTGGATGCAGGTTAAGGTCTAAATCAAATCAAATTTTATTTGTATAGCACGTTTCAGCAGCAAGGTATTTCAAAGTGCTTTACATCATAAACACAAGAACACAAAGTCATGCAACATATAATAAACAAACATCATTGTTACATACAATGTTCCCTCTAATTGTTCATGTGTCTTGGCGTACACACAAGCTTCCTGGGCACACTGATGACCACTGTGAGCATCATCAGTGTACACGGCGTGGCCACGCACAAGTATCATAAATCTGGGATCATAGAAAGTTGCATGGCTTATTTTAAAAAATCAAATTACATCAGCAATTTTCATTCGTTTGCTTTTAATTTAAGTGATTTGCTCAATTAAAATAAAAAAAGAAAACATTGCTGTCCATGAGATGCATGCTGTAAGTAAGAGTTACAGTTTTTTCACGTCTGCCCTTCTCGCTTCTCACTTCTTCTCACTTCTCCAGTGGTTGTTCATTTAGCCCAGGTTGATGGTCAGTCTGCTTCTTGCTTTATCTACTTGAATTCAGCATATTGACTGTTAATGGCCTCCATAATCTGTGGGTGGAGGAGAATGGCCTCATACTTCTTTGCCAGTGTACGAATGTTGCTTATCCATAGTCAAAAATCTGAACTCAACATTTCAATATCAAAAGCAGAACATTCCTTTCATTTGATTTGATTCCATTTGATCTTAGAAGAAGTGCATTTCTTTCTTTTTTTACTTTGGCTTGGTGAGTGGATGTCCCACGTAGACATGATAAGGTGATGGATTTCACGTTTCTTAAGTCTACCGCTCTATTCTCAACTGCACGGCGCATATGACCAAGGCACGTAACCCACGTACACACAGCCAATCAGCATGCGCTGATTGGCTGCGTAGCGAAAGTGAACCGTATCGTATCATTGGCTGGATTCCTGTCACTCACTGAGTTCGATCGCAAAGTAGTACGGAAAAAAAAATTATTGGTCCATAGTCAAAACTGATGTCTGAGCTCAATGTCCACTTTACGTTGGACTTTATTTTATGCGCTACATAGATTTTCTTGTGCGCTGAGAATATGTGAGCAGTGCGCGATTGCGCAGGCGCGCAGCTTAGAGGGAACATTGTTACATATTACATTTCAAATCCAATTCTAAACAGGTGTGTTTTTAGTTGAAATTTCAAGGAAGTCAGGGTTTCCGCTGTTTTACAGTTTTCTGGAAGTTTGTTCCAAATTTTTGGTGCATAGATGCTGAAAGCTGCTTCTCTTCTCTTGGTTATGGTTCTGGGGATGCAGAGCAGACCAGAACCAGAAAACCTGAGAGGTCTGGAAGGTTGATACAACAACAGCAGATCTTTGATGTATTGTGGTGCTAAACCGTTCAGTGATTTGTAAACTAACAACAGTATTTTAAAATCTATTCTTTGAGCTACAGGGAGTCAGTGGAGGGACTTTTAAACTGGTGTTATGTGATCTATCTTCCTGGTTC